GATGCAAGGTGCGGTTGATGACGGCGCTCGCTGCAGACTGCAGCTTGTCGCACTGCGCTGTGATTGGCTGCTATTTAAACAAAGATACTTCGGCACGGTCGTCGACTTCGTCGCGTGACGTTGCCGCGATGCCCGTCGACGTGGCAACTGCAGCTCGAGTAGGATGGGACTCTGTTCAGCGCCAAGATTCCAGTCGTCTGGTCCGACCCTCAGGTCCGAGCCTTGGCGCTTCCTGGAGGCTCCAGATGATCTTGTCGTTGGTCGTGTCACGAAAGGATGAATCACCCGTTACAACAGGCGATATCACTTATTGTGGGTTGGCCAAATAGGGTTTCGGATAGGTCACGGTCATAATTGTTTGTGAAACGATTTCGAGCCATGTTGACAATTAGATTATACAACCGTCGGCATCGGCCTCTTTGGTGTCATGTGCATTGGGTATGCGGCCGGCCTCCTTCTCGCCAACGTCGGCGTCATCCTCATGCAGTCGGGGCAGCCCGCGCTCTTGTACCTCGTGCTGTGGGTGTGCTCTGCCTCATTACGTTGCGCCGCGGTCTCCTCAAGAACCTCTGGGTCGGCCCCAAAGAGGTTTTCGCCATGCCCGAGGCCGAGCCCGAACATCCTGTCACCGACTATGCCAAGCAGGACCCGACACCGACGGTTGTATAATCTAATCGTCAACATGGCTCGAAATCGTTTCACAAACAATTATGACCGTGACCTATCCGAAACCCTATTTGGCTAACACAATAAGTGATATCGCCTGTTGTAACGGGTGATTCATCCTTTCGTGACACGACCGACGACAAGATCATCTGGAGCCTCCAGGAAGCGCCAAGGCTCGGACCTGAGGGTCGGACCAGACGACTGGAATCTTGGCGCTGAACAGAGTCCCATCCTACTCGAGCTGCAGTTGCCACGTCGACGGGCGTCCCGGCAACGTCACGCGACGAAGTCAACGACCGTGGGTGACCGGCTCATGCGGCACGCATCAGCTCCCAACTTCAATTCATATGGATCGATCCCCCTCCTTTTTGGTTACGGTTTATGAGACGGGAGGGCCGATCAGCGCTCGAAATATTCGATATAATCAACCAATCAGCAAACGCATCAAGCGATCTGCCGCCACCAAGCATGATTTACGCAGCACATGGACGTACGTTGAGTAGGAACAACTCGTGGTGCTGGGGCAAGAGCGTTTTGTGTTCTAGATTGCCCACCGGCAGTATTGACCTGAAGTTAGGCCAAGGAACCATGGATTGAGTTTCGTAGGCCTCTTTAAATTTATATATTTTACCTCTCACACATCATTTTCCGGTGCTTGCTCGCTCGATGGGAATGGGAGCGGCCGAAGATCGCTTTCATTTCAAGATTGGCCACAGCCAGCAGAAGCAATGGCCCGGATGAAGCAGGAACCACGCAAGTCGACGAGTGTGAAGGTGCCTCGGGAGCCGGCCGCCGACCGCACTAAGCG